ACTGGATTAATTTAAAAACACACCCTTTTTGATACGGTCCCTTGTATAAAGGCATTAAATACTAGAGATTAGGTGCGCCCTCAGAAATATACCTCCGCGTAAATATGCGCGCATGTGTCCTTCCAAAGCATCGCTGTGTAAGTGCAGGTATCTGTATATATATAAAATAAACATAGCAATGCGAATGGCGATTCCCATGTGTAACAAAGAGTAGGTGTCCTGCGGAGCGCAGACGCGGAGGCGGCAGCGCGTCCTCCCTGCGCACTTTCCGCGGCCCTGGTTCGTGCAGGCGGGAGATTGCGAGTGCCCCGAAACGGAGAAGGCAGCAGCTCCGCGGGGACTGAGGGGACCGCGCTCATCTCCCGGGCACGTGCGGGGCCATGCAGCGGACCCGCGCTTCGCACATACGGCAGGACATCTCCACGGGCGCGAGTGGGGCGTGCGTGGACGGGGAGGAACACGCGTGCCAAGGCGCGCCGTGTTTGCGCACATTACAAAATCGCGGTAGAAGAAGAAAGAAAGAAAGGAAAAGACTAAAATATGTGCAAGGATAATGTTCTCAAATTATTTACACTCCGTACTCTAGCAGTAAAATACACCCAGGCTCTTTTAGCATCAGGGCACTTGAAATACTCTGTTCTTTATCAGCAGCTTTATATATAGATAGATAGATAGAGAGAGAGGGATGTTTTTTTTTTCCCTCATCCTATTTCCTGAAAGTGGTCTTTGCAGCGACATGTCGGCTCTGCATGGACTGCGCTGGGTGTCCCGCCGACCTGGGCGCGGGTCGCGCGTTTCCTAAGGTTCTGGCTGCAGCGGGCAGCGGCATTTCCAACATTTTGCAGTGTCTGAAAGTTTCTCTAGAAGGAGCAAGTGCTCTGGACGTGGGAAAACTTACAAAGTGGAGCCCCTTTGCCAGCAGGGCCAGAAAAGCAGTAAATAAAAGTCCCCAAGTTCGGTGCACTGGTCGAGCCGCTGCTCAGGGCGAGCGCGATAAGCAGGCGAGGCCAGCGCTGAGGTTCTGTCCCCATTTCAAGCAGCGTCTGCTTTAAAGGAGCGAACTTTGCGCGTTGAATGCCGGCCTCGCCTTTTCAAAAATTCAAGCGATCACTCACAAGCCATTAAAAAGACCTGAAAGGCGAGGCTTTCGGGGGGAAAAGGAAGCGCCCGGTTATTGTTGGGTTTTTTCTTTTCTTTTTTTCCTTCCTGTGGCATTTCGGTTTCTGCGCGCAGCCTCACGCGCTCCCGCAGGCACCGCCGCGCTCTCCTGCCTCTCCCCAAACGCTCCTCCTCGGTCGCGGGAGGCTCCGCGGGCGCGGGAGCTGCGGACGGCGGCGGCCGCCGCCGCCCGCGCGCGCCCCAGGCGCACGTCGGGCTCCAGCGCTTGAGCGGCGCCAGAGCGCGCAGCAGCTCACGGGCCTTCCGCTGGTGCGCAGCGCGGACCTGCTCCGCCACTAACGTCCGTGAATTCCCAAAACTAGAGAGAGGGTGCCCCAAACCGCCTCAAAAGCCGGACGTTAAGGGACGAGCGACGGAGCCCGTCGAAGTTGCAGCCCTGGGATGAACATTTCTCTCTGCAAACATCCGCGTTTAAATCTGCAAAAAGCGCCCGGCTACGGGGCCGCGGACTCCGCCGCTGCATGAGCAGGGAAACCGCCGAGAGACTCCCCACCACCTCTGCCTGCAAAATGCCCCTCTCGCTGCTTTTCTTTTTCGGGTGAGGGGGGGAAGGGGAGAGGTTGTATTAATGCCCCTCTCCTCTCTCCAGAGGCCACATCACGAGCACGGCGTGGGTTTGAACTCAGCGAGCGCAGCCCCAGTGATCGGCGCTAATTCAGAACATATACGGTATGGCGATCCAGCAGGGGCTGCACCCCCGCCCCCGAGAGAAAACAGCAGCAGCAGCAGCAGCAAAACCGTTCCCGATGCTCTAGGACGCTAAAACGAGCCTCCAACCCAAAGTTTTAAAGAGTACTCGTTAGCCAAGTGCTCAGACACACGTAAGTAACAGAACCGTGCTAAGCGACCACTAGGGACTTCAGAGAAGTTCAAAGAAACTTGAAATATCCATCTTTAAAATACATTGCCCGAATAACATTTCTCCGGGTTTATTTTACAGGAGAAGGGCTCGCACTAAGTCTACTTTTTTTTTTCCTAGCTACTCTCAAGTTATTTTTTTAAAACTCCTGCCAGGACAAGCCGACAGGACAGTTAGATGCGCGCAGTGTAACATTTTAGACACGCTAAGCATATTTCCCTGGCCCTTTTCCCCGCTGGATCACATTTCCCAAGTACCAACAGTTTCTGCCTGGGTCCCACCGGTCTCGAACTTTTTTTCCTATCTCGCCAAACCCTGCAAGGTGGCGCTCTTTTCATTGAAAAATGATATTGGGCTTATAATAGTAATAATAATAATAATAATAAGCATTTTGTAGAAAGTTAAACCGAGCCGTTCTGCCGCTTCCCCCCGCGATGCCCGGCCCGCAGCAGCGGGGCTCCCCCTGCTCCCGGCGAACTCCGCGGGGGAAGAGGGAGCCCTTGGGGGCGGCGAAACCACCAAGAGAAATACCCCGATGCTACGGAGTGACAAACCCAGGGGATCTGCTGCGATCCTCTCCCGGGCTGGCCCCGTGCGAGGGCCGGTGCGGACCCCGCCGCCCGGAGAGCAGTCCCGGCCGCCCCCTCCCCCGTCAGCGCTCAATATCCCTGTTGCCTCGCCGTACACATAATATTTCTTTAAAGAAGCTGTTAAAGTGTCATCCTGGTCTACTGGAAGGTCAGTCCGTGCAATTCACTCTATGACATATCGCAAGCCCTCGCAGCTTTAGCCAACCTCATGATTTGTGTTGTCTGTTGATACGTTGTCTGCTTAATGGGGCGATCATGCAGGCTACAACCAGGAACAAAGCCCAACAGTTCCAACAACCGTGGCTAAGTTAGTGGAAGCAGTACAGCTTGCAAATCTATCAAACTAAACTGCAAGGAAGACAATCTGATTTAGAGAAAAGGCGTTCTGCTACAGTCATTAAGCACAAGTAATTTAGATTTTTTATATTGTCTTCTCATTTACAAATTTACTGTATCAACGCCAGCCAATGGAACGAATTTCTTAAGTAAATGAGAAATAAATAAAAGAGATAGGAAGATAATCAAATTACATAAAATAATTCTTATCCCCTAGACTTATTTTTTTAGAAAGCTATTAACACTAGCAAAATTATAGTAATAATAATAGCATAACCTAAGAAGTAATTGATTTAAATTAACATCACGTTTTAAGGAATATCAGAAAAAAAAGAAAAAAAAAAAAAAGAAAGAGAGAGAGAAAAAAAAGGAAAGGATTTTTTTCTGAAAAAAAGGCAAAACAAAACAAAAATATCCAACAACCAAATCAACAACAACGGCCTTGGTGAACCAGTGCTGTACTTCTTTGAGTAAAAGGCCCAAGGAAAGTCATGAATCCACTGCCTAGGAATTAGTTATGGTCATAAATGCTTTAAATTAAAATAGCAACAGAAATCTCCTCTGTTTTAAATCTTCTAATATATGTTATCCGAATTAATTTAATTTAGAGACCCAGTCTATGCAGATTCATGGGCAGTACTGGAGTGAAGCACTTCTCATGTAACAATTCCCCACATTAATATTTATGTAGCATATGCAATCTATTTCTGTTATTTTTATGGTTGTTATTCTATGTCTGCAAAGGTCATTTAAATTATACTGCGGCCGAAAATTTGTTTCATAAATTTTGATATAAATACTAATTACACACTATAGTAATGCCAGCAGGGATCCTTTCATTTATCACATTTATATCACCTTCGCTGCTTTAGTGATGACATAATGGAAAGCAGTGAAAAACTGGGACAGTTTTATTCTAATATCCTAAAGCTAGTCGGAGTTGCAGCAGGTTGACTGAGCGAATAAGAATTCCTACCACAATTCATGGGATTTAAGAATCTTTAATAAGGTACGAAATGTTACCAAACAGTTCTGTAAACTAAATTTTACATACCAATTCTTCTAGCCATAAATATTGAATATCTTGTAACATGTATAACCGGACCTTTACATGCGGATAAATATGGAAATTAGGATTTATATACATTATGTTCTTGTATTTGCCAAAGCAACGGACAGATATAGTTTATATCTTTTTTTTTTAATATCACTTTACATAAACAAATGTAACAGTTTGACACGCAGATTCAGGCTTTCACTATACGAATTTCTTGACAGGACGTGTAACAACATTTTACTGCACTACTTAGACTGGACTTTGGGACGAAATGTTGCACTTTATACAAAAAAAAAGCACATTAATACCAATAATATTCTGTTAGATCGACGTTTAGACTGTAATAATACAAAGTAATTCACATTTTGGTACACATTTACTAGAACATTCTTGCCATTCAGTACAAATAGTTGAATTTCTACCTCTTCCCTCTGCCCCCCCACCACCTCCCCCCCACCCCTCACCTCTCCCTCCCTCCCTCCCCTCCCCCCACATATATGCAAAGACCACAACTCCACATATCCCCTTATTCAACTTGCGATATAACTATTTACAAAATCAAACAGTACATTTTTTTGAAGCTAGTAATTCTGTATTTACAAGAGGGGATGGGGGGGAAGGCCGCTGCCCGAGCAGACATGCAGTTAGACATCTCTAATCAGTGGTTTCCAGTAAAGCCCTACACAGTTGGCATTTGCCCTGGTAACCTTGTCTTCTTTTGCATTCTACTAACCCCTTCGCCTACTAAGCCTTGCAACAGAGCTGAACAGAACAGTCCAAAATAAAAATTAAAAATAAAATTAAAAATAATAAGAGAGAGAGAGCGGGAAAAGAAGGGGGGGGCGGGGAAGGTAGAAGAAATAAAGAGAGAGAGAGAGAGAAGTAAAAGGTCAAAAAGAAAGAAAGAAGAAAAAGCAAAACAAAAACAAGAGAGTCTTCATTTTACTCAGACATTGGTCTACTGGCAGCATTCTATTTGTGTTTGCTTTTTAAAATTCTGATTTCAAAGTGTTCATTATTTTTGGAGTCTTTTAAATAGGGTATTTGTTTGCTCGCTTGGGGGGGGTGTTTTGTTTCGTTTTTTTTTTTTTTCTGTTGTTTTGTTTTAGCGTTTTACACGTACCATTCGTTAAAATTTGACGTGAGCGTGCTGTGGCTGGACGTGTGGTGAACTGCGGAGGAGGAAGGGGATAAGGAGCTGGCGGTCTGGTTTTCTGTGGATGGAGACACGATCGTTGGAGGCGTGGAGGACTCGTAGCCTGAACTGGCGGCGGGAGAGGGCTGTGAGCCCTGCGAGGACGACTCGTGGACCTGCAAGAGAGATGCGGGCACAAATA